ATCATCATCATCCTCATCCTCATCCTCATCCTCCTCCTCCTCCTCCTCCTCCTCCTCCTCCTCCTCCTCCTCCTCCTCCTCCTCTTTTTATCTCCTCCTCCTCCTTCTCCTCCTCATTCTCCTCCTCTGTTCCTGTTCCTGCTTCATTTCCTGTTCCTGCTCCCGTTCATGATACCGTTGATCCGGCTCCTCCTCCTCCTACTCCTCCTCCTCATCCTCCTCCTCCTCCTCCGACTTCTTCTCCTCGTTCTCCTCCTCTCCTCCACCTCCTCCTCCTCCTCTTCCTCCTCCTCCTCCTCCTCCTCCTCCGCCTCCTCCTCCTCCTCCTCCTCTTCTTTGGCGGGGCGAACAGGGGGTGTAGGGGGAGGGGGGAAGGCTTCTTAAAAGGAGGCTGCTTCTTAGAAGGCGCCGGCCCTACATCTACAGCCAAGGCCGGCGCCTTCTACGAAGCAGGGGTGCTTCTAAGAAGCCGGCCCCCCCTCTCCCCGCACCCCTTTGCCGTGGCCGAACATGGCGACGGAGGGAACACGAACCGAAAATGTGAGCCTCCGCTCCAAGAGGCCCCCAGGAGGTCCCAAGAGGCGCCCAGGAGGCCCCAAGAGACCCCCAAACGGCCCCGAAGACGCGTCCAAACTGCCTCCAAGAGGACCCCCGAAAAGCCCCTCACGAGATCCAAACGAGCATCCAATAGGCTTCATACCCACCACCCAGGCACGGTGGCGGGATGGGCCGAAGGCCATTAAACCTGGGCCGGCACGGAAACGGAAAGAGCGCCTCAGCAACCTGCCCGAGAGGGCTCATGGCGCAAGAGCTGGTTGCGTCACCGCTCGTTCTTGGGAGCCTTGGTGTTCCGAGACTTTTCCGTGGCCGCTCGCTCTTGGGAACCTTGGTGTTGAGAGTTGTGTACGTCACCGTTCGCTCTTGGGAGCCTTGGTGTGCACGAGTTTGTCACGTCACCGTTCGCTCTTGGGAGCCTTGGTGGGAAGAGCCTGTCACGTCACCAATCTCTGTTGGGAGCCCTGGTGTTCAGAGATGGGTACGTTGACGCTCGTTTTTGGGACCCTTGGTGTGACGAGTTTTTTACATCAACTTCGCGCTTGGGAGCCAGGATGTGAAGAGCTTCTTACGTCTCCTCCTCCTTCTCCTCCTCCTCCTCCGCCTTCTCCTCCTCCTCCTCCTCCTCCTCCTCCTCCTCCTCCTCCTCCTCCTCCTCCTCTTCCTCTTTCTCCTCCTCCTCCTCCTCGTCCTCCTCCTCCTCCTCCTGCTCTTCCTCCTCCTCCTCCTCCTCCTCCTCCTCCTCCTCCTCCTCCTCCTCTGCTCCTCCTCCTGCCTCCTCCTCCTCCTCCTCCTCCTCCTCCTCCTCCTCCTCCTCCAACCTCCTCCTCCTCCTCCTCCTCCTACCTCCTCCTCCTCCTCCTCCTCCTCCTCCCCTCCTCCCTTGCCTCGTCCTCGGTCCTCCTCCTCTCTCCTCCTACCTCCTCCTCCTCCTCCTCCTCCTCCTCCTCCTCCTCTCCTCCTCCTCCTCCTCCTTCGCTCCTCCTCCCTCCTCCTCCTCCTATTCCCCTCTCTCCTCCACCTCCTCCTCCTCCTCCTCCTCCTCCTCCTCCTCCTGAAGAACTCCTCCCTCCTCCTCCTCCTCCCTCCCTCTCCTCCTCCTCCTCTCCTCCTCCTCCTCCTCCTCCTCCTCCTCCTCCTCCTCCTCCTCCCCTCCTCCTCCTCCTCCTCCTCCGCCTCCTCCTCCTCCTCCTCCCTCCTCCTCCTCCTCCTCCTCCTCCTCCTCCTACTCCCCTCCTCCTCCTCCGCCTCCCTGGGGCGTCCCTGGGGGGGAGGGGAAAGGGGGGGGAAAGAGAGGGACCGGCACCCGCGAACGGGACCCCTGGGGCGGCCGGAATGGTCGATCCGATCGCTCCCTCGCGCCCGCCGCATTCGGCGAAGGGCCCCACATGAATTATCAATTGATTACTCACTGGGAGGAGAAGGAAGGGGAGGCGAGGGAGGGGAGAGGCAGGGGGAGGGAGGCGCAAGGCTCGCGCGGCTGCAGGGGCGGCCTGGCAGGGGCGGGGAGAGGAGAGGGGAGGGGCGGGGCGGACGGGGGCGTCGGCAGTCAGGTCGGAGGTGGTAGTGGTAGTGGTCGTGGCGCTGTCGCGCAGTCGTGGTCGTGGTGCTTGCTGGCGGTGGTCGCGGTGGTCGTCGTGCTGGCGCTGGTCGTGGTCGTGGCGCTGGTGGTCGTGGCGGTCGCCGTCCTTAGGGTCGTCGTCGTGGTGCTGGTAGTAGCGGTGGTGTTGGCGGTGGTTGTGGTCGCGCCCTTACTGGCCGATGGCGCTGAGCACCATCTCGGCACTGCCACGCTGGAGGTGGCGGGACAGCTGCCGCCACACTGTGGCGAGCACCTCGCCCCGCTCTGCCTCGCCGAGGTTCTGTCCGCAAGCCCGGATGAACTCTGCGGCTTCGTCTGACGGGCGGCCCAATGTCTCGAAGACGAGTGGGGCGAGGTCTCCCCCACTCGGGGGGTATCTGTCCCGCTTTTCCCGCACCATGGCCGCTGCGGCGGCACCGTCGTTGTTGGAGCGCGCTTGCCTGCGAGGGGCGTACTCAGAGCATTCGCAGGTGATGCTCCAATCAACGAAGACGGGTCGGCCCGTGCTGGGATCTGTCGTGGCGACATCTAACTTGGTTGCTTCCAGCAGGCCTGCGCGCTGGTTGACGCGGTCTCACGCAGGGACAAGCTGCTCTGTGGTCGCGGCGAAGCCTGTGAGGCTGGCGCGCAGCTTGGCATGCCAGTCCCGCATGCGGTCGTGGCGGGCGGCGCGGGACTGACCGACTCCACAGCCTCTCGCGTGCCACCCTCGCCGGTCCAGTGGGGCGCCGCAGATTGCGCCGTCCTGGCGGCGGCGCTGGCACGCGGCGCCTTGCGGGCAGACATCACACCGGAGGCGCAGCTTCACAAAGGTGATGAATCAGTGATGAAGTGCTTGTCGGGCATGTTGGGGCCACCTTCCTCGCTGGGCAGGACGAAACTGCCAGCTCCTGTCCCGCCAGCGCCGCGGAGTGCCAGGCGGTCGCCCTCCCCGAGCTCCAGGAGGAGTTTTGCTCTAGTGGCCGCAGAGCGCGCCTTGCCCCACGTGCCTTGCAACTTGGGCGTGGGCTCCTGGAAGCACCCCAACCAATCGAAGTCGCCGCCGATGGCCCCCTGGGCCCGGAGGTCAGCGTCGGCTTCCATGAGCGCTTGGTGCGTCAGGGGGCATTGAGCCCGGAAGTCTTCCCAGCTCTGGAAACCGGCGGCGCGGGCCACTTCCTTCATGGTGAGAGCCCAGCTTGCCGCACACGATGCGGAGGAGGTGGTCCGCGCGGAAGGCAAGGAGACACCGCCGTCTTTGAGGCGCATCATGGCCTGCGCGCGCGGCCGCGGGTCGAGAGCGGCCCCGATGAGTTCTTCCAGACAGCCGAATACGACTTGATCGAACTGGTCCACCCAGGACAGGTCGCGGCTGGCTCGCAGGCGGTGCGCCACGGCGCCTTGGGCGCAGGTGCGCAGCAGCGTGAAGGTGGCCCCAGCTGAGAGGCCCGCTGCACGCAACTCGCGGAGTCGGTAGCCGAACCTGACCGCTTTCGCCACTGCGGCGGCGCCGTCCGTGCCGGCGTGGACTCGGATCCGCCACTCCTCCTGGTCCAGCCACGGCGCCGCGTTGCCCAGACACTTCAGGTGCGGCACCCGGCGCTCGCTTAGCACGGGGGGAAGGACCGCGTTGGCGCCCTTTGTCCAGGCTTGCGTTTTGTCCTGTTGAACCTGTAGTCCGTGCCCGAGGAGCGTCTCCGCAACGATCTGGTCAGCGGCCGCAGCGTGCTCTAGGGGAGTGAAAACCATCACGTCGCCCAAGTAGCTGAAGACCTTGCAAGCGGGCGAGAGCGTCTGCAGCGCGGCGTGGATCTCGCCCAGGGCGCTAGCGATGGCGATGGCGAACAAGGCAGGGGACAAAGGGGCAGCCTTGGTCGACTCCGCTCGTCGCCCGGACCCGAGCGGCGTCTTCGGTGTCGTTCCCGAACAGGCGCGTCGTGGCCCTGCCTAGCCAAGCGGCCGCCGTCGGGCCGAGGTCCGGCGCTCTCGCCGCCACGCTGTCCAGAAATTGCTGCCGGGGTACACTGTTGAAGGCGTTCTTTGCGTCGAAGGCCAGGATCGCTCCTGGCGGGCTTGCCTCCGCGAGGGCAGCGATCGTCTCATGGACTTATTCACAGCCTGCTGGCCGGCCAACAGCATATTGGAACTTGCCACACCCCGCTTTGATGCTGCCCCCAAACACCGCGCAGGCCGCCCGCCCCGCCAAGCGCCGCAGCACGCCGCCACAAGCGATTGGGCGGATGCCTCCATTCGGTTTGCGAAGAGCCACGAGCCGTGCCCCGAGGTTCGCCCCCATGGCTCCTAGGCTGAGCTGCCCGTAGAGGAACGGGACCACGACTCCGGCGCAAGCTTCGAGGGCAGGCGCGTCACACAGCAGGGCACGCCAACGTTCGAAGCGGGAGCCGTTAGGTCCAGGACCAGACCGGCGGGGAGCGCGGCGGACGTGGTCTTTGACCGCGGTGAGCAATTCATTCTGCAAGTCCTCGTCAAGTGGCTGCGGCGCTGGACCGCCCCAGGTGGCAGGGGCCCCCGTCGGGAAAAGGTTCTCCAGAGTGGCGCAGACGCCGCTGCCCTGGGCTGGCGTCGTCGGGCGGGCGACGGCCGCCATCGCCTTGCTGACCAGGCCCTCCTTCACCAGCGTCTCTGCCTGCTGGGCGGCTCGCTCTGGCGCGGGCCGCCGGCCGCCGCGCCCAGGCGGGCGCCCGGGGCGCGGGCCGCCCGCCAGAGAGCGGCCCAGTGCCCCCGCTCAGCCAGCCGCAGTCTGCTGATCAACGCCTGGCTGAGACCCCGCCCTTTCGTCGCCTTGCCACCGCGCTGTTTCTGGTTCCTGTGGAGCATGAGGCGGTCGAAGAAAGTGAAGAGCTTCTCGGCGCGGCGCTGCGTGGTGGCGTCGCCGGCGCCGCAAGCGTTGAGCAGTGTCTGTGCTATTCGGCCGCGCAGCGCCGCCAAGGCCCGCGCCGTCTCGTCTGGCACCATCACCACCGCGGGCACATCCTGGGCGAGGCTGTCGTGCGACACAGAGTCCCACCAGGGCAGATTAAACAAATCTGCCTGGGGCCCGTTCCCCGCGTCTCCTTCTAGTGTTTCGGGCAGCTCTCCCGGGTCGCCGTCGTCTGCCCCCTGCAAAGGCGCCCCGCCTCCGTCCGTGCCCTGCTGCCGCGCTCTTTTCGCGCTGCGGACGTCTTCGACGAACTGCTCGCGAGTGGGTCTCCCAGGCCTGTCGCAAAGGTCACGGACAGTGTCCTTTTGGGCGTCTGTGAGCTGATCGGTGCCTGCGACGTTGTCGTAGGGCCCTAGGCCGCCCTCCACGCACTCAGGGTGGTAGTACAGTTTGTGCGCGAGGGTGGTGCTGAAGGCCCGGAGGTCTCCCCGCCGCATCGGCCCCTTGCACGACTCCACGCGGCAGTAGCAGCTCCGGCGGTTGGCGAGCACGTAGACGCCCCAGCTGGTGACCCGTAGTTCGATGGCTGCTGGCCGCGGCTCCGGGCGCGGCGCCGGAGGTGGCGCGGGTGGCGGCGGCGCGTAGGCGGCGGCTGCTCCTCTGGCGCCCTCGGCGGCGCTGGGGCCTTCGCCGGGATACCCCAGAGTCGCATCGAACTCCAGGCCGCTCCAACTGATGGCCCACGCGGCCGGGACAGTCGAGGAAGCAGGTGCTGATGCGAAGGCCTGGGCGTGGACCAGGCCTGCCGTGAGAGCACCCACGGAGGCGGCGACGGCGAGGCCCAGTCCGAGGTAGGCCAACGCTCGGCTGCACACCTGGACGCGGTTCTGGAGCTGGCGCACGTCGAGCCCGGTTGTTACAACCCGGCCCCTGGCGAGGCAGCCGTCGACGGTTGCCCGCACCCGCATCAGCACCTCCAGCACGATGAAGACCATCAGGGCGGCCAGCCACAAGGCGTCGCCCACGACGAGCGCGAGGCCCGGCAGGTGATCATGGCGCACGGCATTGGGGCTCGCGCCGCTCCAGACCTCCGAGAGGAAGGTGTAGAGGACGAGGAGGATGCCGGCCCCACCTCGACGGCGAGCATGCCAGAACACTCGTAAAGGATCGGGTGAAATGTCTGGCCACGGGACAGGCCCAATCGCGTCGAAGTGCTGCCCGCTGCTGCCCCCCATCGTGGATGTCAACGTCCAAGGGCTGCTGCTCTCTGTCGTGCTGCTCCAGGTCGCGCTGCTCTGTGCCGCGCTGCTGGGACCACTCGCGGATGTCAACATCCAAGGGCTGCTGCTTTCTGTCGTGCTGCTCCCAGTCATGCTGCTGTCGGCCGTGCTGCTGGGACCACTCGCGGATGTCAACGTCCCATGGCTGCTGCTCTCTGTCGCGCTGCTCCGGGTCGCGCCGCTCTCTGCCGAGCTGCTGGGGCAACTCGCGGATGTCAACGTCCAAAGGCTGCTGCTCTCTGTCGCGCTGCTCCTGGTCGGGCTGCTCTCTGCCGCGCTGCTGGGACCACTCGCGGATGTCAACGTCCAAGGGCTGCTGCTCTCTGTCGTGCTGCTGCGGGTCGTGCCACTCCCTGCCGTGCTGCTGGGACCACTCGCGGATGTCAACGTCCAAGGGCTGCTGCTCTCTGTCGTGCTGCTCCGGGTCGTGATGCTCTCTGCCGTGCTGCTGGGACCTCTCGGGGGTGTCCACGTCCGAGGGCTGCTGCTCTCTGTCGTGCTGCTCCGGGTCGCGACGCTCTCTGCCGTGCTTCTGGGGCCACTCGCGGATGTCAACGTCCAAGGGCTGATGCTTCGGGTTGCGCTGCTCTCTGCCGTGCTGCTGGGACCACTCGCGGATGTCAGCGTCCACGGGCTGCTGCTCCCTGTCGCGCTGCTCCGGGTCGCGCGGCTCTCTGCCGCGCTGCTGGGACCGCTCGCGGGTGTCAACGTCCAAGGACTGCTGCTCTCTGTCGTGCTGCGCTGCTCTCTGCCGCGCTGCTGGGACCACTCGCGGGTGTCAACGCCCAAGGGCTGCTGCTCTCTGTCGCATTGCTCTGGGTCGTGCTGCTCTCTGTCATGCTGCTGGGACCACTCGCGGATGTCCACGTCCAAGGGCTGCTCTCTGTCGTGCTACCCCAGGACATGCTGCTGGGACCACTCGCGGATGTCAACGTCCAAGGGCTGCTACTCTCTGTCGCGCTACTCCGGGTCGTGCTGCTCGCTGCCGCATTGCTGGGACCACTCGCGGATGTCAACGTCCAAGGGCTGCTGCTCTCTGTCGCGCTGCTCCGGGTCGTGCTGCTGTCTGCCGTTTTGCTGGGACCACTCGCAAATGTCAACGTCCAAGGGCTGCTGCCCTCTGTCGCGATGCTCCGGGTCGTGCTGCTCTCTGCCGTGCTGCTGGGACCACTCGCGGATGTCCACGTCCAAGGGCTGCTGCTCTCTGTCGTGCTGCTCCGGGTCGTGCCGCTCTCTGCCGTGCCGCTTGGGCCACTCGCGGCTGTCGACGTCCAAGGGCTGCAACTTTCTGTCGCGCTGCTCCAGGTCGTGCCGCTCTCTGCCGTGCTGCTGGGACCACTCGCAAATGTCAACGTCCACGGGCTGCTGCTCTCTGTCGTGCTGCTCCGGGTCGTGTTGCTCTCTGCCGTGCTGCTGGGACCACTCGCGGATGTCAGCGTCAAAGGGCTTCTGCTCTCTGTCGTGCTGCTCCTGGTCGGGCTGCTCTCTGCCGCGCTGCTGGGACCACTCGCGGATGTCAACGTCCAAGGGCTGCTGCTCTCTGTCGTGCTGCTGCGGGTCGTGCCACTCCCTGCCGTGCTGCTGGGACCACTCGCGGATGCCAACGTCCAAGGGCTGCTGCTCTCTGTCGCGCTGGTCCGGGTCGTGCTGCTCTCTGCAATGTTGCTGGGACCACTTGCGGATGTCCACGTCCAAGGGCTGCTGCTCTCTGTCGTGCTGCTCCAGGTCGTGCTGCTCTCTGCCGTGCTGCTGGGACCACTCGCGGATGTCAACGTCCAAGGGCTGCTGCTCTCTGTCGTGCCGCTCAAGGTCGTGCTGCTCTCTGCCGTGTTGCTGGGACCACTCGCGGATGTCAACATCCAAGGGCTGCTCCTCTCTGTCGTGCTGCTCCGGGTCGTGCTGCTCTCTCCCGTGCTACTGGAACCACTTGCGGATGTCAACGTCCAAGGGCTGCTTCTCTCTGTCGAGCTGCTCCGGGTCGCGCTGCTCTGCGCCGCGCTGCTTGGACCACTCGCGGATCTCAACGTCCAAGGGCTGCTGCTCTCCGTCGTGCTGCTCCGGGTCGTGCTGCTCTCTGCCGCGCTGCTGGGACCGCTCGCGGATGTCAACATCCAAGGGCTGCTCCTCCCTGTCGTGCTGCTCCTGGTCGGGCTGCTCTCTGCCGTGCTGCTGGGACCACTTGCGGATGTCGACGTCCAAGGGCTGCTGCTCTCTGTCGTGCTCCTCCGGGTCGTGCTGCTCTCTCCCGTGCTGCTGGGACCACTCGCGGATGTCAACGTCCCAGGGCTGCTGCTCTCTGTCGTGCTGCTCCAGGTCTTGCTGCTCTCTGCCGTGCCACTACAACCACTCGTGGATGTCAACGTCCAAGGGCTGCTGCTTTGTGTCGTGCTGCTCCAGGTTGTGCCGATCTCTGCCGTGCTGCTGGGACCGCTCGAGGATGTCAACGTCCACGGGCTGCTGCTGCTCTCTGTCGTGCTGCTCCGTGTGTACTGCTGCTCTGCCGTGCCTGCTGGGACGCACTCGCGGTGTCACGTCCAAGTGCTGCTGCTCGTCTGTCGTGCTGGCTCCGGGTCGTGCTGCTCTGTGCCGCGCTGCTGGGACCACTCGCGGATCTCAACGTCCAAGGGCTGCTGCTCTCCGTCGTGCTGCTCCGGGTCGTGCTGCTCTCTGCAATGTTGCTGGGACCACTTGCGGATGTCCACGTCCAAGGGCTGCTGCTCTCTGTCGTGCTGCTCCAGGTCGTGCTGCTCTCTGCCGTGCTGCTGGGACCACTCGCGGATGTCAACGTCCAAGGGCTGCTGCTCTCTGTCGTGCCGCTCAAGGTCGTGCTGCTCTCTGCCGTGTTGCTGGGACCACTCGCGGATGTCAACATCCAAGGGCTGCTCCTCTCTGTCGTGCTGCTCCGGGTCGTGCTGCTCTCTCCCGTGCTACTGGAACCACTTGCGGATGTCAACGTCCAAGGGCTGCTTCCTCTCTGTCGCGATGCTCCGGGTCGTGCTGCTCTCTGCCGTTCTGCTGGGACTCCTCGCGGGTGTCCACGTCCAAGGGGTGCTGCTCTCTGTCGTGCTGCTGCGGGTCGTGCCACTCCCTGCCGTGCCACTGGGACCACTCGCGGATGTCCACGTCCAAGGGCTGCTGCTTTCTGTCGTGCTGCTCCGGGTCGTGCTGCTCTCTGCCGAGCTGCTGGGACCGCTCGCGGGTGTCGACGTCCAAGGGCTGCTGCTCTCTGTCGTGCTGCTCCGGGGCGTGCTGCCGTCTGCCGTGCTGCTGGGACCACTCGCGGATGTCAACGTCCCCGGGCTGCTGCTCTCTGTCGTGTTGCTCTGGGTCGTGCTGCTCTCTGCCGTGCAGCTGGGACCACTCGCGGATGTCGACGTCCAGCGGCTGCTGCACTCTGTCGTGCTGCTCCGGGTCGTGCTGCTCT